CAGCTCTCTCACGAACACCTTAGAATACCTTATTTTAAATGAAACACCTGGTTTATTTCGATTTTGAATTTCTGAGAAAATTTCGTGGTAGATTCGTTAATCTTTCCGTGTGGATTTTTGGTTCGTCGTAATCGTTTATATGCCGTTCTTTCAGAATTGGTGTACATAATTGGTTAGTAAATTTTGGTCACCCTGTAAGTGATAAATTCATTTTTAATACCAATTTCAAAAGAACGATTCTTGAATTTCCGTTTAGCATACAAACGATAAACGAAAATAATGTTACATCTTTCAAAATTTTTAAATTAATCAAAATGAAGAATCCTATCATGAAATCCAAAAATGTACACAGTGTACCATTTAAAATAAGGAACTTGGGTGCTGTAAGATACTTATACGACACCATGTGTAACAACTATTTTCAGTGCATGCAGCACATCAATAAAAACAACTTTCGCATTTAAAACTTGTCAAAAAAATATAGATAGACGGAAATATAAAACAATCCCATAGTCGTGAGCTACCCTGTATACAGTAGATTCTATATAGATCCTGCCTATACGGATAACACATCCACTGTTTGAATCCAAGTTGAAAGAAGACATTCCAAAATTCGTTTTTTACGAGTAAGTTAATGACAGATCACCAATTCCATAGTTTTCGGTTAATGTTTACATCAGGAAGGAACGTCTGATAAAAAATGATCACAAGCATAATTGTTTCTTTATTTGTGAGAGAATTGCCACTCCGTCAATTTTTTTATGACGACCGAACATTAAATAAAGAACTAATTATTGTTCAGTCACTTTATTTACCATATCCGAACAGTGATAAAATTGCTAGCAAATGTAAAATTTCCAAGAAATGTTTCACTTTTATATGGACTTCTGTTACTTTTTTTTTCCTCGAGAGAACTTAAGCTGAAGACTAATGGAAAATAAGTCATATCTTCCGATATGAAATACTGTAGCAATCCCTTAAGTAAAAACCAAGTCTTGCGGTGATCTAAGGCAAGTGCTCACGTAACATAACACCGGAGGAATAGCGAGCAACAATGGGCAACATTTATATATCCAGTCGAGCAATATTTCAAACTCGAAGGTAACTAACATATAACTAGGGTCAAACTTCCCAGACATATCACCTCGCTTGACAAAATCTTTCATACTCTAGCTATAGTTCTTTAAAAATAAAATTTAAAAAATACACCTCTTGTACCCGATTCTAGCGCAAAACATGCTGAAAATTTTTGTCCATAAAAAAGGCTGTTATTGCTACATTGCACTTAATATTTTTGGTTGGTTATTTCTCATTGAACTAATTGTGTTTCAAGTTGGTCTTGTTTAGAAAGAAGATCGTGACATCGTGTGAGCGTGAAATTCTTTTTTTTCTTTATCTCAAGACCGAAGACTAAATTAAAAGAACCAAGTAACTTAAATCCGAGGCTCAAATCAATATAAACTAGAAATGGTGTTACTACATATTATTATAAAACGGCACCAGCTATTTTTTAACTGTAGTACCATAATATGTATATACATTTTGTAAAAAGTGTGGATCATAATCAGACTTTACTTCACCAAAACTCTATAATTCTGTAAATCGAGGGCGCTGAATATAAATATGTTAAAGAGATAGTACGTTAATTAACAATTTACAAGGTTTAGTTCTCAAAATTGTTACTTTTCTATTGCTCGAGCTGTGTAATTAGTTTGTTATCTTTCACGTTCTGTGAAGATTATTAACGATTTATTACTATAAATACTTGAAATTTATACATAAAAACAAACTATTATAAATGATCATCGTTTTGACCCTTTCGGCAATTCCAAGAGTAATTCAAATACGAATCATGAGCGAATAGTTAGTTATTGAATGAAAGAAAAATACAGTGGAAAAAATTAGATTTTTACATGCAGTGCGTTTTTGCTTGAACACTTCACTGGATTTGCGTATAGGTATGAAAAAAACTAAGAAAAATTAAAATCTTTTTGTGCACAAGAAAGAAAAGGAACAGAAGTGTATCAAATAATTTCTTTATTTTAATTTAAACTATGTCGGATAAGGTTTTTTAATTTATTGGAAACACCTATGATAAAGTCTCTATATATCCAAAATAAAATACGCTTGAATTTTTTTTGCTTTATTATGTGTTTATAGACTAAATGATGAAGTTTTAAAGCTAAAGGGTATTTGTGCATTGTGCATTGGTTGGATAAGTAATTTCTTTGGCATTTGTTAACGACGTATCTGTAATAGAGACAGACTGAATGTAGATTTTGTCTTTCTTCTTCCGAGTTCCATTTTTATCTTTTAATATGAAAGAAACAGGATTATATTTTCTGATTTTATATACTGTATATATGATACTAAACGCATGTAAGCTTTTCGAACGTTGAACCAAAAAACTTGCATTTTCACCCAAATCCAATAATGGAAAACTCTCTTTTCCATTATACCTGGGGGTATACCTTCGAATAGCGCAATGAGTGACCTTTACAAATAATTACAAATATTTCTTTGTTTACAAAGACGCCCATAATAAAAGTGCGTTTAACCAATAACTAGCTAATTAGGCGAAATTTTGTCTGTTAAATAACTGGCTAGAACGTATACCAAAACAATACCTCTATCGCGTGCTGAGTCAAGTTATTCGTTAAGAGGACGCTTTGTTGTGCAGGTCTTTAAAAACAGGGAATATTTATTATGCATTTACGAGAATTGCCAAGGGCACGCCATTTTCGACGGTTTTCTTCTTCGGCTGTTGTTATTGTTTTGTTATGTTTTAAATTGCTAAGTAATTAGCCGGGCAAACATTTTATCATTATCATTATAATTTTCCAAAATAATTAATAAAATGATTAACTAGAATAACCTTTTTACCATATCGATAAGTACTTTTTCATCCCTTGAATGTGATATTAATTAACCAAACCATTAATCTTGTAAAACCGAATATAACCGAGCAGGCTAAGCAAAAATAAAATTGACCTCAAGTTAAATATCCATCCATCCGAATCGGTCACGCGCTTATTAAATCTGACAGATACATTTATGTATTGATCGATATGAGTGAAATCCTGGAGAGATAAGTTCAAGTTTGTTGTCTAGCATCAAAAGGGATCACGCGCGGACACAAAATTCGAATTGTACGCAAATAGGACCTATCAAATTTCGTGGGTGAATATTGATGGACATAGATGAGAGTTGCACAAAACAACTTTAAACACGAGCCGAATCTCTGCGCGCAATGACGCAAAAACTTCAAGCAACATAACAAAAGAATAATCGCGTGAAGCATAACCCGATTTTTGGGTACATTTTTATCAAAAGTATGGTTAGCTGATCAATAGTATGGTTATTAAGCATCTGAAATCGCCTGTGTGAAAAAAAGTGGGAATTTATTTCTTTTCCGGGTTTATAATTTAAACAAATTTTCCCGTTTTCTGTAAATTCAAATGCAGCATGCCTCTAAAATCCTTGATGTAAGTGAATAATAACAATTTTTCAGAGTTTTTGGATCTAGAAAAATATGAGGTACATACATCATAGAAGAAAAATTATGTTTAACGTACGTTTATTAAAATTACTGATACATTGTAACTTTACAAACAAGAAACTATTGCCAGGACTATCACTACACAACTAACTAACCAAAATTATGACAATAACTTTATTTTTACTCCAAGTGAAAATAAAGAGAATTTATCGAATATTTTTGTAATTAGAAAAAAAGTTGAGGAACTATTTAATGACGTCTCATTTTAATATAAGTCACTTAAGGGTCACACGGTATACAGTGAGCAAAATACTATTAGCAAAAATTCTTCAGAATTAAAAGTTATAGCTTAGTTATAGTTATAGTTATGAGAAATTTCTGTATTTAAAAAATTCAATTCAATTCATTTTGTTCAAATTTAAGAACATTTCAAAAATTAAATCAGAATTTTAATATTTTACACAATCACCAACTTATTTATGTTTCTTTGAATGATATTGAACAAAAACAACAGTAAAATCACGAAACTATTCTTGCGAACTCCGTGAGACATGAGCAATTAATAGCAGCCATATTAAAAAACTGTAATGAAAATCTTTATTTTAAATATTTATTGAAAAACTATTCATAAAGAAATGTAGAACACTTAAGTACCACACTGTAGATGTCAGGGCAAAATTTTTGACAATTTATCAGTTTCTAAAATGTTTGACTCAACTACATAAATTAAAAAAGGTTCTGAATATCATTACTTACTTTCGTTAAATTAGAAACAATTCTTATAAACACGAGGAATAGGGACTACCTAAAATGTTTCTTGCGCTTTGTTATACCGGGTCGCACTGCAACCAATTGGCAGTCGAGACAAACGGCTCCGGATTTCGCCGAATCGACATCGAAGGATCCTGCGCATCATGTAACATACGGAAACCACTTGTTAAGAATTCGAAATGACACATTTGGCCCAATTAAAGTTTTTCAAGAATTTCATTTTATCTGATTTCCCTCACAGTTTCCCTCAATAAAAGTATGCATAGCTATACTATATTAGTGAAACATTTGAAAACAAACTTAGACTAACATTGATATTTTACTTAATTGTTAACTTTTTGGTATTTTAGTACGTGTGATGGTAACTGGTAAATTGTATTTATTTTTGTAACTTTCGTCGCCAGGTGATCAGTTTTTCTGTAATAACGTTATAGTAAATTATAGTAAATTAAAAAAATATCGTTAAATTCGTTAAACACCCTGGAACGCCTTAAACAAATTGGGCCAACGAAAAGTGGACTAGCGCAAAACTTTAGGCGAGGAGTATACCGAAAAAATGGAGCCCCGTTAAACAATTTTTATCCAATGTAATGAACTATATACTTCGCGGCGATTTTCCAAGCACGCGATATCCCGCTCCAATGATAACACAATTTAATCACGACATCCAATATACTATAGAAGCCTCTCGGGCAATAAAACAATTAAACTCGCTAATCGGCTAAATTACCGTTTTCTTATCTTGCTAGGGCCCCCTTTTTCAAAACCATCTGTGTCGTTTTAAACTACATCCCGCAACAGTTTAAACGCCAAACAGTTCTCGACAATATACGTTGCGTACAGTTTATGTCTGCCGGCGTGCACTTGCGTGGTGACGTTTTTATATTTTTGTAAACAATAAAATTTGAAATTTAAGCTGACACACACGAAAAGTGGATGTTTCGGGAACAGGCGCGCGAATCCAAATTCGTACGAATTCGCGGCTCCGTCAACCGACACTGCGGCGGAACCGGCAACAACGACGCGTCGCGTTCGCCGCTTCGGGAAGCTGCCGTTGCTGTGGTTACGGCCCGGGTTGCTACAGCGTGCTGCCATCTGTCTGGCGAACGGAATACCCACGAGATTTTACGGCACCAAATGCTGGAGCAAGAATTACAGAAAACGTTCCACCTATAAAATAAATAAGTGAGTGATATAAAATTATTGGGCAAACACAAGAAAAAGTTCAAGAAGAGCCACTCTCCGTCGGCGCTTTATTGTAGTTCAATCAAAGCGGTTTCGCTCAATTTTCCTGGAATATCTGTTTAGGGGTAAAGTACCAGCTTGTGAAGTAATATACTAATTTTCTACTTCCATATGTCTGACGGTCATGCCGAATGTATTTGTGTTGTTTTGCTAAAATTTACCCAAAAACTAAACAACGTGCTGTATACAACACGTTCGGTAAACTTTTTAATGTCAGATGCCGCTTATCGCACTTGTTGCATAATGTACTAATTTTCTACTCCCTTCTCTATTTTCTGTTAAAAAATGAAATAATTAGGAAAAATTTATTTTCGAAATGTGTGGTAAAGGATTCAAAATCTACAAAAATCATATTTGTATTCTGCTGCCAATGACGCACTCTCGCACGTCAGGAAATTCTTTTTTTTTGCTTACTCTGTTCGTTCTGAGGAAATCCGCTCATTACATAAATGATTATTTTTTTCAACTAATTGTCCGCTCGGTGCAAAAAATATTTTGTTTCCTTAATTCAATGAACTCTTGTCTGTCTACTTAGACGGCTGACCAGATTTAAGTCAGTCGTTAAAGTTGGACAACAAACATAACAACACCCAAGACTCCCAGTGGGAATCGAACCGACAACCTCCGGCAACTCGAGTTGGTAGCACTAACGCCTTACCAACCGAAGCTCAGTAATTAAGAGTTACAAAATTTTGAAATTATACGTTACTAAATTCGACATCTGTAATTGCAACAATAATAAATAGGGGAATTTCATTTAAAATAGCAAAATTGTGACGTGTAACGTAAAAGTGGTAAATCTGACAACATCGCTCTGAATTCTGTATGCTCTAAAGCCCTAAGTATTGAGTTTTATCGTTTTAGCTTTGGCAGTTTTGGAGATATTTAAGCATACTGGTACATTTTACTGAAAAAGCGGTGTTACCGAGGAATTAATAGAAATAAAATTTTGAAATTATGACACCTTACCAAATTCAACATGCTCAATTCACTGCAACAAAAATAAATAAAGAATCCAATCGAAAATAACAAAATTATGACGATAAACCTAAAAATGGTAAATCTGACAACATTGCTATTAGAATTTGTGGATTCTGTATGTTCAGAAACCTATATGTACTGAATTTTATCGTTCCAGCTTTGGCAGTTTTGGGGATATTTAAGCGTTCCGGTACGTTTTGCTAACCTGGTATGTTTTGTTATCCATTGTTACCTGCAACATTAAATCTTCAGATTCTCGTCACTTTAAGACGACTTAGAAGTAGAAATAGATGGAATTTATTGGATATATTTGAAAAAGACTGTCGTCATTTTCGGATAATTTCTAATAATATATGTAATCCAATATATTAAAGAACATAAGACACCAAACTAACCAAATAAGTCGAACATTTTACTTAAGCAAAACCACAGAAATGAGCGTCAGGGTAGACTTGCTAGACTAAGCCGTCACGTTGTTGGTTAAGATCATTTCGCTCTTAAAAAAATGCATTTAAAGTCATAAATTAAAATATAGAAAAGACATAGTTTTCACAAAAATTGATAAAGAAATTATTGCAAGAATGTTATTTGAAAGCCTTGTGCCCAATTTGCTTGAAAAATATAACATTTGGACTTAAAATAAAATAATTTTGAATACTTCAAGTAATTTTATAGCAATATATGAATTGTACAGGGTGTTTCAAAAAAATTTCCTTTAATTTCGAGAGCGAATAGAATGTTTAAAAAATACGTGAGTTTGTTTAATTTAGTTAGTTAATCAAATAACTTTAATTGGGCCATAAAAGTTACATTGTCAAAAGTACCATTGACAAAATATGTTGTTACAGTAGCTTCGTTAAAGGCTTTTTTATGGGGATAGTTTTAATCTTGTTTAAAATTAAAAATATTACCGGTTGTTTATTTAAAGTCATTTTCTTGCACGACAAGGAATAATCTCAGTAAATAGGAATTGTTTCAGGAATAACTAGGAAGTAAAAATATTGGAAGTTATTTTGAACTTACATTTTTGTAGGAATAACTTTTATGACTAGATCGAAGGTATTTATAAGGTAAAGGTAAGGTAATTGGCAAAAAAAGATCTTTTAGGGTCCCTTTTAGAGCGCCGTACCTTTCGGAAGGACACACTAAACTAACCTGATTTTTTAATAATCTAGTTATGCTGGAAATTAATATAATGTTTTGGGACACACCCAATATACTTATCGTACAACAAGGCGCATAATGATTTTAGAGGCACAAATACAATACTGTCATAGCTGCGTTCCCGTGTAGGTCCGTTCAAACAAATATCTGCGATATTCTTCTTCCACCTCCGTGATCATCTTTAGTCTTTCTTCGGCCTGCTTAAGAATGGCAGCATACAGCTCCTTGTTTGTTACCATGTACCGTTCAAAATATTTTCTTTCCAATCTATACACTTTGCTAGTCTCGATAGCAATAATAGTTGAGGTGCACTTTTGATTTTTCAAAATAAGCGACAGCTCACCAAAGTATGCGCCGTCCTGCAAGTGGCATACTTCTTTTCCGGAGTGGGTGTAGAGCGCGACTGTTCCGGAAGCTATTATATATAGACAATGACCAATAGATCCGGACATAATAATTACGTCATTCGCCGAGTAAATTTCAGATACGAAATAGGAAACGATTTCTTGCAAGGTGTCTTCGCTAAATGCGTTAAAGAGAGGCAGCTTGCTCGATTTTATCGTCCTGCTCTTATCTATGTTGACTTTGAACCTCAAACTCTCTGGAAGTAGGTCCAATATGTTTCGCTGATTGAAAAACTTCCGCTGATACTTGAAGTTGTAGTACCCCACGATCCTGTGCCTTAGGTTATCCGGGAGCTGCTTGTGCTTCATGTACTCGTGCAGTTGCGTAATGATTTCCTGAAATTTCACCTCCTGCAAATCCTTTGACAAGATGGCACACAAAAGAGCCACCCAAGTGGTGATGTGGATAATTTTTCCTACAAAGTAATTGACCAACGTGACCATGGTCTCTTCCCAAGTGGCATACTCTTTATAAACGTCGATATGCACTCCGAATGTCTGCGCGGCCGTCTTAAAAAATGCGTAGAAATATTGCCTCACGAGGGACTTCTCCAGTAAATTGTCGTAAAGGATCCAGGAACTCGGATGGTACTCTCCGGTAAAAATTTTCCTGAATCGCGGCACGCCGAATTCTAAACAAGACATGAGGTGAGTGACTAGTACCATTATCAAAAAAAACTGCACGAGAGAAATCAGACCGGTGTTTTCAATCTTGAAATATTGGGCGCATATCTTCACCGCCCTTATCAGTTTTCCGAAGAGTACGATTTTGAAGAGTGACAGGAAATTGAGCACATTCCAAAAAACGTGGCTGCATTGCAGAGGACCTGCACACAAGGTATATCTAGGTATCGAGGAGAGTAGCTCCGCCCAAAACATCAAACTTCTCAAACGGAAAAAGACGATACTTTCGTGTTCGATAACTACCAGCCTATTCTCCGATATAACAAAACCGATGAAGAACATAAACATTATATTCAACCAGCTGAGACCGTCACAAATATTCATCGCTTGTGGTAATGCGCTATATGTTCCGAGGTAATAGTTTGTTCTTCGGATAAAGGCAACGTCTAGCAATTTCAACCAAATGGCAACGACGTACAAAGCAAGTATGTACATTTCGTGATAAATAGCTAGTTTGCTAAGCGGATGTATAATGTAGTAGTGGTTTGAGTCGTAGTGTCTTCGTTTTTCCTCTCTGAACGCGTGACTGCTTGCAAAGTACAAATTGCACTGTGGGTGGGTACCAGACACTAGGGATAAACAATAGTACAGTTTCTTTAACAAGTACTTCCATTTAGGTTCTGTCCGCCGTTTGGGGGGGAATTGCCTCTCGCAGTGAGCAGTACAGTTGTGCTCCAAACGATTATCTTTTATAATTGACCGCATGTCAGATTATGTCCGATTTTTAAGCAGACGTTTGACATGACATTCCAAACACATAGAGAGGTGCCTAAATCCAAATATATCGAGAGGTTTAGTTTTGGTTTCAGTTTAGGTTTGGGGATAAGTGATTTTTTCCTTATTTTTATAGAGTGTACAAGCCTTTGCTTACATTGATTGCATGCGTTTTATGGCGTTTTATGAATTACTTGTCTAGTCCGCATTGAACATAAAAATTCGTATCTAACTACGTGTTACGGAAATTTCTGATATATTACTAGATACTGAAACACTCTGTGCATCTAAATCGCCATCTTAATGTATACTATTTATATATTTAAAAAAAAATGAAATGAAGACTTTGGTTTTAATTCCATTGAAAATTATTAACTTTTTATAGAAATATTAAATTTTGATACTCAACGGTAAGCATGAATTGAGTAAAATGGAAATTTAGACGACTAATACCACTATAGTCAAATAGATTGTTTGAAACGCTCAAGCAAAAAATTTGAAAATATATGTGATGGTGACCTTAATTATTATTGCCATTAAATAAAAATGTTTCTTTAAACAAATTTTAAAAATACAGTGTAACATATGATATGTTAATTAATTTGCAAAGCTTATTTTTAACAAAAGTACTGAAGTACCAAAATATTAATTATTTTATTATAAATTGGTAATATTATTACATATATATAACAATAATTCCTGTTTTTACAAGTTATTCTATTTGTAACACACAACACATCTTTTTTAATCCATACTAGACAAAATCAAATCAAATAAATATTTAAATGCTTTAATAGTATCCCATAATTTTTTGTTGTTAAAATAATGTAAATAATTGGTTCTTTTTTTTAAAGAGGATTATTGATAAAAACGTAACTCTGTTTATAGGAATACGGTGGAATTTTCGCCTTCGAAAACGAATTTGATTTTTCGAGCGTGGTTTGTAACAAACTGGTCAAGAATTATCTGACAATTGACATAAGAATTATAAGAATCAATAGTAACATTATTGTCAAGACGCTAACTAAGCAATGATAAAGCATAAGGGGATATATAACTCCTCCGCCCTTAGATAAAAGCACGCATGCAATACGTGCTTTTTGTTATATTACTATATTTTCGGTTACATCCTTTTCACTTTTATTTTATTAGAAACAAAATATTTATATAGGAGATAGACAATGATTAACACAAAAATAATACACAAAACAATAGTCCAAACACTAGTTCTTCGTATATAAACTCCAGCCGTCATATCTTCTATTGTTCTTTTATTCTCATCTAGTTGTTTTGTATTTGCTTCGGTTCCTCAAGGTTTATAGTGCTCAGGTCAATCTCAGGGTTGTCGAGGGTTTTCTTCCGTCGTATAGCTAGGGAAAAGTTCAGCTGTATAATTGTATAATTTCCATTTGTATTCCACAAGCCAGCGATGATTCGACGAGGTAGGACCCAAATAATGATACACTTTTTATATTATTTTCATATTTTATAGTAGCTGTCACGTTTTTTGGGGTTGTCACTATCCATTTTCCATCTTGGATTCTACACACTTGTATTTCTCCAAGTCGGATATCAGCTCTACAGAACATTCTTCAAATAAGTAACATAGGCTTCTTTACACAGGTATTCATTTCCTTGTAGTTGGATACATTTTGATCCATAAAGGCATACTTGTTCTCTTGTTGGGAATCTTTTCCAGTCGGAATTGATAACGGAAAGAGTTGATAGTACTTCAATTAATGGTATTTCAAGAATAAACGTAACTACTGATCCTTTAGAATAGCTTTTAATTTCGATAATTTTTTCAAAAATTAGTAAGTTCCCAAGAGATATTTCGAGTGGTAATTGATGTCGCAAATTTTTATTAGAATTTTTAATTTCTTCGAAGAGTTCCAATGGATTAATAATTGAGTTATGTAAAGTATTCAATTTTGCAAAACTAATAGCGGTTTCTATTTTTGGAAGTATTTCGTATATTAAATTATACATTACATTCAATTGGTTTATGACTACATGGATTTGAAAATAGTCAAAATCGTTTGTTTCTTGTAATGCTATTTTCTCAACTGTTCTTTCGATTTGTAGCAATTTTGATTCGAGAATAATCCGGTTATTTGAAATATTGGTTATTGCATTATGAAACATATTGATTGTCTTTTCTAATAATTTTATCTGGTAAATTGATTGGTTTTCAATTCGTTTTGGTTTTCTTGGAGTTCCTTAATTCGCATTTTATATTTTTCCGCATCAGTTTGATCTAAGTTACCAGTAATACATTTAATGATAAAACCAATTGGATTCAACAAGCCGCGTTTATTCCTTAAATTATTCATTGAAGGGTTTATTTCCTTTTCTATTTAGTAATTTTGCTTAATTTTGAATCATTTCAAATTCAGAAATTATATTATTTAAGTCATAGATTTGCACAAGTGAATGGTAGTTAGAAATCATTTTTACAGTTCCTAGTTTATAAGCAAGAAGTCCTGGGTAGTGATTTAGCTTGTATAAGTTTACGTCTGTTCCAACGAATCCGAGCCATCTGGAACAATATTCATAATTTTAGTTTCATTAATGTGAATTATTTCTTTCTTTTCTGTTTTCTGATTTTGAATCCCAATCTTGTTATTTTCTAGAATTTTAGTTAGAATGAATTGTCCGTCGAATTTTTTATTTGATTTACCTTCTCGATTTTTGATACGTTTATATACTGTTGCACCAACTTAAGGTTCTATAGGTTTTTTCTTTTCATTGATTTTGTCGATAATTTTTTGTTTCTTGATTAGAGAGTTATCATGAATTTTATTATACAGGATTTTTGCATTTGTTTGGTGAGAATTAACATATTCAAAATAGACTTGTGAGGGAGTCAAAGTCAAAGGGTCTCTGGTATCGGTGTGTCCCAGTATAAGTTCGAAGGGTATATAATTTGTACTTGAATAGTACTATTATAGGCAATAATTACATAAGGCATAAGCGAAATTATATCAGATTTAGTATCGGATTCTTTGAGTAGCCTTAAATGTACGATTAGAGTTGAATGAAGTCTTTCCATCGGGGAATTAGCTTCATGATAATTGGGTGACGCAAGGTGAATTTTTATGTTATGTACTTTTAGTAAAGAATTTAATACGTCATTTTTAAATTCGGTTCCATTATCAGAGATTATTACTTTCGGAATTCCATAGAACGAGAAAAAGTGAACTAATTGTTGACATGCTGAAATACCGGTTCTAAAATAAATCAGTGCTTGTGCAACTTTAAAAAATTTATCGATAATAGACATTTTTGCCCTCCTGCATTAAATATATCGATGTGTATAATTTAAAATGGTTTAGAGGGTATTTCTGTAAGAATCAATGGTTGATCAGGTGATTTTCGGTGATATTTTGCTCGTTGGCAATTTCATAACATCTGATTTTAAAGATTTTCAATAATAATTATTTCTTAGGAATTTAGCTGTCTCTTCGATGCCTCTATGATTTGTTTTTCCTTCATGTTTATAACGAATTAACATCTCTCTTTCTTCTGGTTTAACATTATTAATTAGTTTCGAACATTCAATTAGTTTAGAATTTTCTAAATGCTATGTTAACCTTCTGCACGATAGGTCGAAATTCTTTAGACAAAAAGTGAACATATGTATACTTATTATTTAGATGTTCCTTAAAGAATTTAGTTAGAATAGTTTCATTGTCGGGAATTATTGTATTTATAATGTTATGACCATCAAAATTTTCGATATATATATTTTATATAAGTAGAATAAGGAACTCCGCCTGTGGTAGTGATGGGTGGATCGAGTAGCCCATCACTGCCATTGCCGGTCCCAAGCCCGGATAAAGGAGGAGGGTTGTGGCGTTAGGACTTAGCACCCTATCACACGTAAAACCCCAAATGGGAAAAGCTAGGACAAAAGGCAGAATGAAAATACAGAAACGGAAAAATGGTCCCCGGGTGGAAATCCACACCTTCGATGAAGGGAGCCCCATAGGATACGGGGGGGGGGCAATTTTGCTTTTGGTCAAACAGCAAACCCAAGCTTACATCTCAACCAAACCAAAACAAAAAACAGTAAAAACAGGAAACTAGTATGTGCCACCTGGAACATACAGGGTTGGCGAACAAAAGAAACAGAAGTCAGAGAGGAATTTAACAAAGGACAAATAGACATACTGGTAATGAGCGAAACAAAAAAGAAAGGACATGGCACAGAAGACATAGATGGGCACCTACACATGTGGAGCGGTATTAATAAAGAAAACAGAGCTAAAGCTGGGGTTTCGGTACTTATCAACAAGAAATGGAAGAAAACCATTACATCATGGGAACCCATTAATGAACATATAATCACAGTACACTTGAAAATGTGCGGCAGATCAATAGTTTTATTAGGAGTATATGGACCAACAAACGACAGCCCCGCTACAGAAAAAATTTCATTCTTTGAAACTCTAAAGGAAGAAATTGAAAAAGTAAAAACTAAACAAGAAATAATAATAGCTGGGGACTTTAACGGAAGGACGGGAAATAAAGCACATAACAAAACAGTAGGCCAATTCGGGGAGGACACAATTAATGACAATGGTGAAAGATTAATTGAAATTTGCGAATTAAACGACTTAAAAATTACCAACGGCTTCTATAAACATAAAGACATCCACAAATACACCTGGATACAAGAAACTAGGAATCTAAGATCCATAATAGATTACATAGTTGTTAGGATAACTACAACAATTAAGATACAGGATGTAAGAGTTAAAAGAAGCGCTGAATGCGGAACCGATCATCGACTGGTAGTTGCGTACATGCACTTTCCTTGGTATGGAGTAGCAAAGAAAAACAAAGAAGAGACAGCAAAACAAGAACAACAAAAAGACAACCAAAACAACCAGGAAATAAACGAGAAAAGATTTAAAATTCACCTCCTAGAGGAAGAAACAATAAGAGATTTGTACAGACGTAGACTTGATGAAAAACTAATAGAGTTCAATTTTAATAATTTAACAGACACTTACGAACACGTGAAGAAGAGCATTAAAGAGGCAGCTTATGAAGCATTAGGAGAGGAAGACGGAAAGAACAAAAAATATACAGAAGAACTTAGTCAGGAAGCTATTGCAGCTATTCAGGAAAAAAAGGGCTTACACCAAAAATGGCTCTGTACAAATTCGGGAGAAGACCTACAGAAATATAAGGACAAAAACAGAGAAACAAAAAAACTAATTAGTAAAGAAAAAAATGAAAAATGGGATAGACTCTGCCAAAACATACAACAGTATACAGGAGGTACAAGATGCTCGGAATCATGGAGAACAATAAGATCTGTCAGATCAAATACCAAAGAGAAAGTCAATATACAGTTTATCAAAGAAACCGAATGGGAAAATTATTATCAACAACTACTAACGGAGACACGACCACAATTCTGGCAACAACTAACATACCAAATACAACCTAACAACAATCTAAAGCATGTAACAATAGAAGAAAAAGAAATAATAAAAGCCATTAAAGAATTAAAAAACAAAAAATCACCAGGGCCAGGGGGGATAGTGAATGAACTTATTAAGTATGGGTCGGACAAATTATTCAGAATATTGAAAAACACGTTTGAAAGAGCAATAAATGGAGAAACGTTACCAAGGGAGTGGAATACGGCATATATAAGCTCTATTTTCAAGAAGGGGGATCGTAGGAAGTGTACCAACTACAGAGGAATTTGCATTATATCAAGCATGGGAAGACTATATGGAAAGATAATCAAAAACAAAATAGAAGACCAGATAATAGGGAAAATAGGTGAAGATCAAGCCGGTTTCACGGCAGGGAAGTCATGCGTTGATCAGATATATACGGTAAGGCAGACTATCGAAAAGAAAAAAGCTAAAAACAGAGACATCCATTTAGCATTCATAGATATAAGAAAAGCTTATGACTCTATACCCAGACAACAACTTTGGAAAGCAATGGAAGATATTGGGATAGAAAGAGAACTAATAAAAGCCGTAGATACAATGTACAAGAACAACGAGTTGTCGGTTAAAATAAGTAATAGGTACACAAATCGATTCACAACATCAAAGGGCCTACTACAAGGATGCCCTACATCAACAACGTTGTTTAAAATCTATCTTGAGAGGACGCTAACACAATGGAAAAGAAAATGTCAAGGTATGGGAGTCCCAGTACGCGACGACCACTTATACACCCTAAGCTTTGCCGACGACCAGGTGGTCATAGCCCAGGATGAAGACGACTTGAGTTACATGCTCAGAAAGCTGAAAGAGGAATATGAGAAGGTAGGTTTGGAAATAAACTTCGAAAAGACAGAATATCTAACAACAAAAGAAGGGGAAATCGAAGATTTGGAAATAGATGAAAACACAACCGTAAAAGCAACAGACAAATTTAAATACTTAGGGTGTATAATAACAAAAGATGGATCAACAGAAGAAGAAATCAAATCTAGACTAGGTCAGGGTAGAACATGTATAAAACAACTGAACTCCATTATATGAAACAAGAAATTAACAAAGAAAACAAAAACAACAATATTTAAGACAATAGTAGAAAGTATAATTACATACGGAGCAGAAACCTGGCTATTGAACAAAAAGAACAAATCTAAAGTAACCGCCGTAGAAATGGAATATTGGAGAAGGTGTTGCCAACGAACACGCATGGATAGAATACGTAACGCAGAAATCAAGAGGCAAATGAATGTAGAAAAAGACTTATAGCAGAAAAACAGCTTAAATGGTATGGTCATGTCAGACGAAGTGACGATAGACGGTGGATAAAGAAAATCACAGAGTGGAGCCCTATGGGACGTAGAAAGAGAGGAAGACCCAGAAGATCGTGGAGGGATGAAATAGATGAAGCCATGGAGGAAAGGGGGTTGGAAGACGGAGATTGGAATGACAAAGATGAATGGAGAGTCTGGTTGAGAGAGGGAAAACGGCGCGAGCTGTAACAAACCCCATATATATATATATATATATATATATATATATATATATATATATATATATATATATATATATATATATATATATATATATATATATATATATATATATATATATATATATATATATATATATATATATATATATATAGAATAAGGTGCTTTCTTGAGAACTACTCGTAATTGGTTTTGTCTGTTGTGGATTATTTCGTCTAATGTGGGAATTTCTTGGAGAAATTCGCCGTTATTTGTACTATAAGTGTGTTTTCGTGAATAATTATTTTGGATTGTATTCTTTTTCTATGTCTTCGAGAGTTTTTGAAATATCTGACAAGTTTAATTTATTGGGGTCAAATTTATCATCTACAAATTTTTCTACATCGACATTGATATTTCCAGGGTTATTAAATAAAAATTTCATAGTCATATTCTTCTAACTCGAGTCCCATCTTATTAATTTTGAGTTAGGTTATATTACGTTAAAAAGCCAAATTAAGTATCTGTAAAGATGTGGTCTAAAATATTTACAGGCCCATCAATGGCAAGGCATTCCTTTTCTATTGTACTGTAATTTTGTTCTGTATCGTTTAATGTGCAAAATAGTATGCAATTCGATTGTCATTTGGGGGTGTCCCTTGTGATAATACGGCTCCTAAAGCAATATTTGATGCGTCTGTAGTCAAAATAAATTGTTTTCAAAAGTCTGCATATTTTAGTATAGGGGCATTAATTAATAATTGTTTCAAATGATTAAAGGATGTAAAAAAAGCGGGGTTATGTTCTATTTTGACGTTTTTCTTTAAGCGTGATGTCATTGGTTTTGAGAATTTTGCAAAATCTTTAATAACCGGCTGGACCTAAAAATGACTTTATATCCTTGTGTGTTTTTGGAATAGGGAAGCTTTTTACTGCTTCGATTTTAGAAATTCTGATTTATCTAATTGGATTGGAAACTTCTTTATGGAGAAATTCTGATTGAATTTTAAAAGTGGCTTGTCTTAGTCTTCCAAAAATTCGTCTTAAACTTTCAATGTTTTCTTGTAGGGATGTAGAAAATATTATAATATCGTCTAAATAAATTAATCAAATTTCATTTTGAAAACCTCTAAGTACGTTATTCATTACTCTTTGAAAAGTGTAGGGTGAATTTTTTAAGCCAAATTCATATAATCCGGTATCAGTGGAAAAACCTGTTTTGGAAATATCTTCATCGATAGTTTTTTCATTTAATTTTCTGTAATCAATAACAATACACCATTTGCGTTCACCAGATGCGTTTGTCTTTTTGGGCACTATCCATATGGGGCTGCTCCACGGGGAATTTGAATGTTGTATTATGTCATTTTTTAGCATTTCATTTACTTGTTTATGTACTTCAGCTTTATGGATTTCAGGGTATCGATAATTTCGTGTGTAGATCGGAGTGTCGTTAGTTAAATTAATTTTGTCTTTAATTAAGTTTGCAAATGATAACGGTATGTCTTTGCAATAATATATATCCCTATATTCGTAACATAATTTTCGAATAGCTTCATCCTCTTCCTTGTTACAGTGATTAAGACGTAAGTTTTTAAGATTTTGTTTTTGAGAGATTATCGACATTAGGTGGGGCTAAATTTTCCGTACCTGGTTTGCGAAATTGATTGGAAACAGGATTAGTAGGTGGATTAGTAATTATAGTATGAGCAAATGAATTCTGCGCTCGCAAATTTTTCGTAGGGTAAAATTCCCATACCTTGTTGTGTTGTCACTGGTATTTTAACCTTTTGTGATGGTCTAGGGGGAATAATAATGTCGGGATAATCAATTTTTTTTCATACGTTTTTATTATTATATATTTTTCCAATATTGTGTTGATAATATAAAGGTATTATTACAATAAGTGTTTGTAGCGTAGAGTCGCTAATATTTATTTTCGCATGAATTTCCAATGAGGCCGTCAAATTTTGGGGAAAAATTAAAAATATAAAATTTATGTACTTGATCAGGGCAATTAAATGACGATAGTAGTAGGATCGTCATTACTTCGCTATGTGCAGATACCGCATGTGCTGATTTTACAGTTAAATTTTCAAAGTCTATAAAATTTGGAAAATATTTATACGCTCTTTTTGGATTAATAAAGCTTTTTGCACTACCTGTGTCTAATAGAAAGTGTTAGTCGATTTCTGGGAAATAAATTATAAGCAGATCCGAGTGATTATAATTATTTAAGAATATAGAAGCGTTATAGTCTTTATAACTGTTTATGTTTGGTTCGTAATATTCGGGGCTTTCTGAAAATTTTCGTTATAATCGTTAGAAGAATCATTTTCGTTGACCTGTTGGTATTGGTCATTGGTTTCGAATGGATAATCGTTATATTCGGAGTCACATTGTGGATGATCATAAAAATATTCTACCTAATCGTATTCCGCATAGAAGTCAGAAAGATTTTCATTAGGTTCTGAAGCTGACTTTAACGGAATTTGGTTAACATCTGGGTTATTCTCAGGAATTACTAATTGGTTATACAATTCTTTTGAAATGAAGTTGATTAATTCTTGTATTTACGGATGACATATCCATGGTTTCAGGTTTGTCTTGTTTTGGAATTGAGTTTTGATTAAATTTATTGAAATTGGTCTTGGGGTAAAGTTTGGATTTATATTAACCGGTGGTCTTTGAATAAAGGGGTAAGGTCTTGAATCAAAGTTACGTCTTTAAATAAACGGTTTTTGTCTTGTTGGATAAATTGATTTGGTCGTGTTGGAATGAATGGATTCGGCCTTGCAAATAGATTAGCTCGTGGTTGAATAAATTGATTGGGTCTCATTCGGAAATTTTGTGAATTAAATATTGTGTTTTTTTGAAATTGAGGTGTCATAAAATTTGGTGTCGAAGGTGCATTAATGGGACGATGTTCTCGAAAAGGATTTTGTCTCATTTGTGTCTCAATAGGTACCTTCTTATTAGTAATATTGATTCTGTCTTTGTAAGCTAAGAAGTTCTCTTCTTCAAGAGAAAATGACATCGCTTGGAATGGAGAAGTAGGGTTCCTTAAACGTACTACTAGTTGCATATGGTAATCGAAACCATTGATAAATGTTTTTAAAATTTAGTCTTCAAACTGAGTAATTTTTAAAGTTTTTAAATTAATGTCTTCATTTGAAGTGTCTAATTTTGAAAATAAAATACTACCCGCGAGTTACGTTTGTTGATCAGAGAAACACTTTTTTAAAAAAACTTTAATTTGCTTAAAGAATTTTATTGTCGTTAAAAACGGGAACGATTTATAACAACAAAAGCGAGTTGACTGCCTGAAGTTAAGAACAGAACTGGTTCTCCTGTCTCAAAATTATCTTAACGTTAAGTTGTATACAATTACATAAACGGAATAAAGCGATATCTAAATGCACACTGTGCGATTAAATTATACTAAGGTAAGCAGTTTATTGGCATGTAACTCCTCCCCTCATAAGTGTGAGCATCCCTGCTGAAGGGGGTGAACCGTGTCCGTCGGGTATTCTTCATCTTTAACCTTCGTGTGATCCTTCTTTTTAAAGACGATAACCTTATAACTAACATAACAGCAAAATACAATTATTAATACATAAAGGATTATTGTCCAGATGCTGATATCTCTTATTCTAATAGGGTTGGTTAATTCTTTGATTTCTTGAGTCTGTAGCCTAAGGGTAGCTCGAATCGTGTTCGGGTCGTCCAGTTGAATATCATCTAAGACGAGTGGTTCAATGTTCGACGTCGGTCTTTCCATTTCTACGCTTGACGGGAGTTCAATATTTTTATGTCGAATCTTTGATTCTTCATAGATTTTTATAACAGTTCCTTCTAACTTTATTTGGCACTCTCGCACAAATTCCAGTAAATACGGACCTTCTAGGGGAATACTTTCTTGTTCCTTGCCGCACGTTTGAACACTAACAGTTTTTTTCGGAGACACTATTAAAAATTTATTGTTCGATAGTTTCTGGATCTTGCACTCCGACATTATCACTGGGAAAAGTTTACAGTTTGACACATTTTGTTTAAATTGGAGGACATGAACTTCACAAGGTGATAATTTATTAATCTGTGTTGGATGACCATTATTACAAATAAATTCTCCTTCACTAATTTCCTTACAGGGTGTGTTCGTTAAGATGTATTTATTTTCACTTATCACTAGGAATCCGGCCATGGGAAGGATTGCTTTGTAGGAATCCATTTTTATAGGCAAGGGGATTAATTGGAAGTAATTGTAGTTTTCGTTTTCTGTTAACGGGATTTCAATAATAAATGTTATCTTATTCAGTTTTGAATAACCCTTTATATTACTTACTTTTTCAAAAAGAAGTATATTCTCAAGTTTAGATTCAAATGGCAATTTATTATTTTTAGTTAAAGTCTTTTCAATTGTTTTCATTTCGTCTATCAAATCGTGTGGTTCAATTAAAGGATTATGCAATGTGCCTAGTTTAGAGAATGTTATTGATGTTTCTAAGTTGTCCAAAATTTGCAGAATAGTTTGATATTGCGTCACAACTTGCGAAATTACCATTTCTATAATCAAAAAGTTAAAAGTATCAATATTATGGATATCTGTTTTCTTAATACTATCTTCTATTAGTAGTAATTTACTTTCTAGCATATTTTGATTATATGCCAGTGAACTAATTGTTTTATTAAATCTATTGATCGAATTATCTAGGATCGAAATCTGATTGATGATTAAAGATTTAATTTTATTTTGATTAGATGACAGCGTTTCAATAGCTTTATCATAACGTTCGGCATCGTCGTTATCCAGGTTTCCAGTTATAACTTTAATAATAGAACCTAGGCCATTTATAATTCCACGTTTTTCTCTACCTTGCTCTATAGTATATTGAGGATTTATTTGTGAGATTCCAAGTTTGATTTTATTTTCTAATGTAGTTATTAAATGGTATGAATTATAAAATTCTATTTTAAAGCCAGCACTATTATTATGCTTTTCGAAAGCTTCTCTTAATTTTGTCGCTGAGTTAGATGTATAATAATATTCTTTGATTAGATTTGTTATATCGAAAATTTGAACAAATGTCCAGTGGTCAATTTGGTTTTGTGCGTTACCTAACTTAAAGGGGAATAATCCTGGATTATTCTCAATCTTATGAAATTTTGGGTATCTTTGTTCTGCCATCAATCCGCAGTAGAAAAGGAGGAATCTGTAACAGAAACAGGTTTCCTTAGTTCCTTTATATGTGTTATTTCCGTTTTATTTTTTATTTTGACTTTATTATTAGGTAGAATTTCGACAATTTCGAAAGGTCCTTTAAATTTATTTTCTTTTTTATTTCTTCTATCGTTACTTTTATAAACCTTTTGCCCAATTTTAAACTGGAATTGTCCTGGTCCTTTAATATTGTGACGTTTCAAAATCTTTTGTTTTTGTCCTTCTTGATTTTCGGTAACCTTTTGGTATACGGATTGCAGTTTAGTTTTATGATTATTAACGTATTCAGAATAGAACGTATTGTTTAGTAATTCTTGGGGGTCCCGAGATGCTGTATGCCCTAATATTAGTTCATAAGGCGTAAATTTAGTTGCTGAATGTATGGAACTATTATAAGCGACTATAGCGTATTCCATAAGATTTGTTTCGTTTTTAAATCTATTTTTTAACAACCTTAAATGTTCTAATAGCGTAGAATGGAAACGTTCTATTGGTGAGTTACTTTCGTGATGACCGGGGGTAGTAAAATGAATATATATTTTATGAATTTTTAGCAGTTCTTTTACTGTTTCGTTATTGAATTCGGTACCATTATCAGCTATAATTTTTTCTGGTATTCCGTAGAATGTAAAATAGTGCATTAGAGAGTTACAAATTTCAATTGCATTTTTGCTAGTAATTTTAAATGCTTGCCCTAATTTAGAAAACTTATCAATTATTGTTAAGTAATTCTGACCGTCGAATTTAAAAACGTCTATGTGTAAAATTTGAAATGGTTTGCTCGGGGTTTCTGTTAAAGCTAATGGACTGTAAGGTTTGTCTCGAGCGTATTTTGCGACCTGACATATTTCGCATGCATTAATATAATTAATAATATCATGTTTCATTCCTGGCCAATAATAATTCTTTTTTAAATGCTCAATAGTTTCTATAATACCTCTATGATTTGTTTTTCCCTCGTGATGAAATTTGATTAGCATTATCTGTTCTTCCTTTTCCCTAACCGTATTTATTAATTTTGTGCATTTAATGAGTTCTAGTCCTTTCTCATAAAAATATTTACGATACACATTATTAAATTCGCTATACTGGGTGTTGTCGTGAAAGTAAATATAAAATTTAGTTCCTAGAGATGTGTGTTTTTTCAATAAATCTAGAATTAAGGTTTCGTTATGTTTTGGAGTTTTTACTTCCAGAATTTTGAGTTTTTGGAAATCGTTTTGACTTATTATTAAT